GTTAGCGTAACACACACACCGGCTTTAAGGACACTGACTGCTATTCAATCTATAACAGTGAAAAAAGTTTTTTTTTTTAAATCCAAGCTATTGTGACACCAGATGTAATTGGTGGCACTGACTGGGGAAATGGGCACAGTATGCACTGTGAGCCTGACACAGAAGCTGGCAGCAGTGGCAGACAACTGACTGCTATTCAATCTATAACAGTGAAAAAAGTTTTTTGTTTTTAAATCCAAGCTATTGTGACACCAGATGTAATTGGTGGCACTGACTGGGGAAATGGGCACTGTGAGCCTGACACAGAAGCTGGCAGCAGTGGCAGACAACTAAGTGCATTTACATTACATAGAAAAAAAAAATAAAAAAAAAGCATACCCTTATCCCTAACCTAGCTATGCTTTTCCCTATCTTATGAACAGCAGCTACACTTTCCCTCCTCTTACTAAGCATGCAGCTTGAGAATGAATCTAAAATGGATGCTGTCCAGTAGGTGGGAGGGTCTGCTAGGGAGGCTGTGCTGCTAATTGGCTGGAATGTGTCTGCTGACTGTGAGGTACAGGGTCAAAGTTTACTCAATGATGACGAATAGGGGGCGGGTCGAACCGCGCATATGTTCGCCCGCCGTGGCGAACGCGAACATGCTATGTTCGCCGGGAACCGTTCGCCGGCGAACCGTTCGGTACATCACTATCTGAGATACAATGCTTTGTGTTTAAGTCCATAGTATTAGGGGAAGTGGTCCACATTAAACAATGAGAGGAAGAGTGGGAGGGTAGGGCATATGGGAAGCAACAAGTAAAGTCTCAATCCGTGTTGAGCAACAGGAGCAAGCGGTTAAAACAGTTGTGAAATGGTATGCAACCCTGATCAAGCTAAGCAGAATGTTTTTTTTCAGTTTCAAGGGACACAGGGGTCAATGGTGTATCCTGGTTTTGTGCTGCCCTAGGCAGGACAAAACTCAGACGCACCCCCCGCGCCAGCCCCACCCAACCCTTCCCCCCGCCCCGCCTTCTAAGTACACACACACACATTCACTGACAGATACGCATACACACGCTAACAGACACACACACTCACTAACAGACACACTCACTCTAACAGACCCACACACACACACACACACTCACTCTAACAGACACACACTCTAACATACACACACACACACTAACAGACACACACACACACACACACTAACAGACACACAGACAAACACACACTGACACACACACACACACTGACAGACACATACACACAGACACACACACACACACTAACAGACACAAACTGTCAGACACTCACACACTAACAGACAGTCAGACACACACACTAACAGACACATACACAGTCAGAAACACACATACACACAGTCAGACACAAACTGTCAGACACACACACACACACTAACAGACACACACACACAGTCAGACACACACATACACACTACAGACACACACAGTCAGACACACACTAACTCCCTAGCAGACACACACTAGCAGACACACTCACACAGTCAGACATACACACACACACACACACACTAGCAAACACACACACATTAACAGACACACTAACAAACACACACATTAATACATTTTTTTTTTATTTACCCCCCTCCTTACCTTTGGGAATGCTGGGGGGGGGGGTTTCTATCTCCCTGGTGGTCCAGTGGCTGCGGGCGGCACTGGATGGGTGGCTAGCGAGGGAACTCTTCCTCTGAGTGGTCCGCTCAGCTCCCTCGCACGCCGCAGAGTGAGGCTGGGAG